ACATACATAGTACGATACACAGTATGATATAATAATGTATAAATTGTCATCCATATTTTAAATATTTAAGTAAATATAATTACCTATTTTCTTTTTCGATTATCTTATTTAGACTTAGGGTTTATAAAATAAATATGCCCTCGCCCCTCACAACCCATAGAAAATTCCTGTACATACATGTATATGATAATATATGAACTTTATGAGGTACACAAGAGTGATAAGAATATAATATAGCAACACACAGATAGGTAAGTCACAACTGAAGTTTTTGAAAATAATATGATCGATGATCGCTCGAACGTTTTTTATAAACGTGATTGTATATTTTCTGATGCTTCTCGGAGTCTTAATATATATATTTTTATATTTAGATATGTGTAGTCATTTATTGTAACAGTAATAAACTAATAAYAAATCTAATCYGTGTTAAATGAATGACGTATGTATRTAATATATTAGTATTATTACATCCACTATCCAGTTTTGATTGCACTATTGTAAAATCAAGTAAATATAGAAAAAATCGGGAGAATTCATCCGTAATTACTTATCTAATTATATTATTATGAGTAGGTAGTAAAATAGAAAATTCATTATTCGATCCCTTTGTAATGTCTGCTGTAGATCAATAAAAAAAAAAAAAATTGTACAACTTACATCATAAGCCATTTATATAAATATACACGAAACGACAATAAACGTAATGTTCTTGATTTTGTATTTAAAATGTTATTTTTCTTCATATTTGAGTCTAACAACACGTGTAGGTATACATAATTATAGTTGATAAAAATCGTGACAGTTCTTTCGAATGCATCTATAGTAAGATAATACTATAGTTGTGTAGAATTCAAATATATTGTACCTATGTATATATAAGCCGTATAATAATTTTCCGTTTGTCTKACGCCTATCATATAGGTACATTTAAAATATACCTAACATATTCATATTAAACATTTTAATGTCTGTATAGGTTCTAAGTATTTATCCATAATATGTGGTTGCTACTAAGTAGTACCTAGCAGGTAACTAACCAAACATTAAACAAATTTTAACTAAAAAATATACAAATCTGTAAAACTGATAACAAAAAGCGTATTATCCTGA